CCCCTATACTCCAACCCCAAACCCCCCATACCCCCACCCATCTCCAAAAGTTTCTCAGCGATTTCGGGCTGTACTCAGCAAGCGCAGTACAGCCCCCAACTCAGATTCGAAAAAAAATCAGTGGATGGTTATTTTCTGACTGGTCGGCAGACCGCCGACCGGTCGGTCGGCTGCAATACGGTCGGCGGTCAGGTCGGCGGTCGGCAGGTATGCAACCCTGCTGTCCTTCATGTTTAGCCATAGATTATGAAAATCGACAGACAGACAGAAACGAAGGATCCGGTCAAGTGGGACCTGCCCCCAGGTGTTCTTTTTTTTTTTAATAAATAAATGCAAGCTGCCTTCTCCTGATATGGAGAACTGCTGCATTATTATTACTCTGTGTTCTTCTCTCAATATTCTTTTGATCTCACACTACCTACCCCGAGCTCTGTACTCGGGTTTAGGGTCATTGATTACGGAAAGGGGGACGAACTATACTACCCCCTAAGAGCTACGGACACCTACAACGGTTAGGACCAGAGACTACAGCAAGGACAGATCAGCTATACGAAGCCCTAAAATCTACCCGCTAAGACTAAGCTACTCTAAGAGTTCTGGGTTCACCTGATTCCTACACTGCTCTGTGCGGGGAGCAGAACCTGGGCTCCTAACACATGGTTACAGCTAGAAGGCGGATTCAACGCCTACCAACCAACCAGGATGGGCAAGCCCACTGTCTCAGCTTGTGAACCCGTAGCGTGCCTCAGGACGTCATGGGGATTTGGATGGAGGAGGTGGGAATCGAACCCACGACCTCCTGTATGCCGCTTTCGTGCTCCACGAACTGAGTTAGGAAGCCTAGGATGGCTCCAGGTGTTCTATTCGGGTGAAGACTTTTTTCATATTGAGTGGACATCAAAGGTCAAAGAAACGGGATTTAAAGAAGGCAAAAGTACCATTCTGGCCCTCAAAGATGAGGTATTTCCTCATTTGCCCCTCGCGGATGTGAAACTCCTCGAATGCCTTTCCGACAGCAGTCCGTATTTGGTTGGTGGGCTCGCTGGTTGGGTTTGATGGTTTGATGGTTGGGTTGGTTGGGTTGGTTGGGTTGGTTGCTTGGTTGGCTGGTGGGGTGGGTTGATGGGGTGGTTGGGGGGTTGGTTGGGTTTCTTGGGTTGGTTGGTGGGTTTGTTGGGTTGGTGGGGATGGGTTGGGTTCATTGGAGTGGGTTGGATTGTTTGGTTGGTTTGGTTGGTTTGGTTGGTTTGGTTGGTGGGGTTGGTGGGGTTGGTGGGGTTGGTTGGGTTGGTGGGGGTGGGCTGGGTTGTTTTGGGTGGCTGGGGTTGGTTCAACTTGGTTGGGGTTTGTTGCATTGGGGTTGGTTGGGGCTGGTTGGGTTGGGGTTGGTCGGGAGGAGTGGGTTGGCTGGGAGCGGTGGGTTGGTTGGGTTGGCTGGGTTGGTTGAGATGGTTGTTTGGGTTGGGTTGGGTTGGCTTGGCGGCTGGGTTAGGTTGGGTTTGGTCAGGCTTGGTTGGTGGGGTGGGTTGGGTTGGATTGGGTGGGTGGGTGGGTGGGTGGGTGGGTGGTTGTTTTTTTTTATTGGTTGGTTGGTTGGTTGGTTGGTTGGCTGGCTGGCTGGCTGGGTTGTTTCGTTGGATGGCTGGTTTGCTTGGTTGGCTGGCTGGTTTGTTTGGTTGGCTGGCTGGTGTGTTTGGTTGGCTGGCTGGTTAGGTTGGCTGGCTGCCTGGTTTCTTTGGTTAGGTGGTTGGTTTGCTGGTTTGTTTGTTTGTTTGTTTGTTTGTTTGTTTGTTTGTTTGTTTGTTTGTTTGGTTGGTTGGTTGGTTGGTTGGTTGGTCGGTTGATTTGTTCTGTTTGTGGGTGTTTGTCTGTTTTGTTTGTGTGCGCCAAGGCTGGCACTGCAGTGGCGCGCGCGCACACACACAGGCATTAGGATTCCAACCCTGATGATTGGAAAGTTGGTTGCATGACATGACATCAAAGCGTTGGACAAAAAAACGTCAAAAAGAACAGATAAAGGGAGGAGATAGCAGACATGTTAACTTGTGAATTTGACATTAAAAATTGCTTAAATTAATATAAATTGATAATACTAAAATTAATTAAATAATTCAAATCAATTATTATGAAGTAATATAAACATACTTACGCTAGAACACCAACATATGGAATGAGGTCCTGAGGTATTCTCGCCAGATCGAAGGCAATATCCACATAGAAAAAACCATGGGTATCCATGTAATTCTCCACCACTGTTGCCGCTCCAATTTTGTATACCTGTTCCAAAAATAGCACAATACAGAGCAACAAAACAATGATCACTTTAATCACTTCAATGAAGTCAGATCAGTTTAATCAACTCTACGGCATAAAGCTGAACACGTCTGGTCATCATCCCGAAGCCAATGGACAGGTTGAGGAGATCTTCTAGGGTGTCACCCAACCACTCCGCGCCCTCATCGTCCCGACCAGAGCATGTGGGATGAAGAGCTGGATGGAGTGAAGTTGTATAACAGCTTCATTCATTCCACCTCTGTTGTGCCACCAAACAGGTTGCAGTACGGTTGGGAGATCCACAAACCTCTCTCCTTCTTGTTCCCTGATCGGTTGCCTCGTCTGACCCCTGGCATGCCTCTGCCTACGCTGTCAAGTATCAGCGCTTGCTCAAGGTGGTCGTCACATCAATAAACTAGCGCCAGGCCGCCATGGTCAAGTCCACCAACAGGCGATGTGGACCTGCGCCATTTAAAGAAGGAGACTATGTTTGGGTCAAGATGTCTGAATTTTCAGACGAAGAGGGAGTGTCTCGTAAGCTTCTTCCGTCATACTATGGTCCTTGGGAGATTCTGAAGGTGGTAGGGGATGATGCTTTCAGACAGTCGTACGTGATTGACGTGGCACCTTATCTGCGCGCGTATCCAGTATTCCACGCACCTAAACTGTACCCCCACACTGAACCAACTTTCTTTCCTCATCATGACCCTATGACCCCTTGAGCAATTGACAACGGCGGCCATGAAAATGACAGAACTGTGGTTCACACAGGCAAAGGAGGGAAAGACAGACTGTACCAAGTCCATTTTCTGTATCACCCGTTGATAGAACTGTACTGGATACCTTGGAAAGATCTACTCCAGAATGCACCTCGTGTAGTAAATGCCTAGGAACGTCATATTGTTTTCTGAGAGAAACCCGTGTTCTTTTATCTGGCTAAGATTGGAACATGCCAAAGTGTACAGCAACCATGTGACGAATGTGTGGTTATTTAATATTTATAACTTTATACTTATTTTTAATCATAATGAGTATTACATTACTATTACTGACAATAATTAAATGATCATTTATATTTTATTTATTTTTATCGTCAGCAAGTTGCGAGGATCCGAGTCCTCGGCAGGCCTAAGGGGCCCCTGTTGCATCTGTGCCCGCCCTAAGTGAAGGCGGGCCTAACAAATCACGAGAAGCCCTCGGCTGCCAATTTCTTATTTGGGGTCCAAGCAGTTTCGTCGCGCCAGTTGGTTGAAGGAAACACAGGCCGAGCAGCGAGGGAAATTCCCAGGCCTTCTAGGCTTTTCCGAAAGCGCAGGCCCTGGGCGAGATTCGCAGCCTCATACACAGACAGTTGGGAGGCCCAACCGAATGAGGCCCAGTAGCTGCACCAGAGCCGCAGCATCCTGGGGCCTACCAGAAGCTTCTAGGCCCAGGCCCAGGCCAGCCAGGCTCTTTCCATATAGGAAAGAGCTCGCTGCCTGGAGCCTCATTCGGGCACTTGCTGGCTGGCAGCAGCGCTGCTGGAGCTCATGCTCGCGTGCTGGGTGCTAGCGCTGGAGCAAGGTGCTGCGCACGTGCGGTTGTGTGTGGAAGCAGGGCGCTGCTGAGGGCAGCGCCATAGCCCAGCCTCCATAGCTGGCTGAGGGCTTGGATGTACAGTGAGGCGCAGGGGTGGTCTTCGGGTTTGAAGAGGGAAGACGTGGGTGTCAGACAAGGGAGAGAGAGAAGGATGATGATGATGATGATGTGAGAGCACATACCTGGTATTGGCGGTGGTCTGCTACGGGCGACATCTTCAAGTACTTCGTTGGCTGCTGACGTCAACAGTTGCATTGTCAATTAGTAGGCTAGTAGTATCTGTGTAGGGAGTAGGCTGGGCGCCGAGCGCCAAGTAGGGAGATAGGGCCTGGATACTCATGTTGGTGGTGGCGAGAGCAAGCTCTCATTGACATTGGTTTTCAGTGTTACGATTCTTCATTGGTGTTATATTGGTGCAATGCCACTTGCTGGACACTGTGATACTATCTGGCCTTCAATGTGATTGTGCATTCTGTTTATTGTCATCTCGCTATTGCTCATTTTCCTTGCAAAGTTCACAGCAACAAAAGAAATAAAAAATGTAATGACCTGCGAAAAAAAATCACTGGCTGAGAACTCTGCTGATATCTGAGTTTTGGCGCTGAAATGCGTGACTTGCTGAGATGCGCGTTTTCTGCCCAGATTTCTAAGTTTGTGTATGTGCGTGCTTGCTGGCTTGTTTGAGTGCATGATTGCTGGGGGGTGTGTGTGGCCCCCCAGGGTACTTGTATTTTTGGAAGGCCCTCACACCTGGTACTTACCTGTGGCTGTGCTTTTGTGGGGTCACAGATGGGACGTAGCAGTAGGCTGGTACCGCCGAGAGGAGGAAGGTACCGGATGCCTGGGAGACCGAGCGGCCTGGAAAGTCACCGCCCAAGGAACCTGCTGCCCGGTATATGTTTCAGAAGAGCAATGAGAGCGTCCTCATTTTGCGGTGTGCAAGTTCGGTGTCACGCTGCTGGAGCGAGTGCTGCGCAGTCCAGCGCTGGGGAGGAAGAAGGCGGACTTGGCCGCCCACCTTGGCTATGGTGGAGCGGGCCAAGGAGGAAGGCTCCGGGGTATAGGAGGAGGAGGAGGAGGAGGAGGAGGAGGAGGAGGAAGAAGGTGAGCAAGGAGGAGAGTGTCGGGCATGCTTACCTAGATATGGTAGACGGCATCTTCATCTTCTTGGTTGGCGCTGCACCTGGAAGGCCCCAGTGGGGGTGCGCTGCTTCAAGGATGACATCAGGGCAGAGTTAGGCATGGCGGCCATAGTAGAGGGGACATATCAGCTTTGCACTGTTCTTTGAACATTGGGCGAGGCCACACTAGTCCGCCGTAGCCACCTACCATAGACGAGGAGGAAGAAGCTGTAGGTCATGGCTATGATGGACCTTATGTGTTGCTGGCAGTAAGGAGGAGATTTGGACATCGGTTCTGGTTCATTCATTCATTGTTACTATTATTATTTATTGTATTGAAGAGGTTCCGCGAGATAAGGAGGTTGAAGGTGATGGCGAGTTGGAGGGGGATTTGACATTGGTCTTTGCTGGTGTACATCTTCTTCTTCTTCTTCTTCTTCTTCTTCTTCTTCTTCGCATCCTTGGCAAGGTTTGCCAAGGTGGTGGGTGGTCCCTGGAGATCTCGGATCTCGCAGGTTTACCCCCACCTGAGGATGTATAGTAGTTGAGTGGCCTGGGTGTAACCTCCTAATGGGTCTGTGAGTGCCAACTTGGATGTAGGGCCTGTCGCGCCCAGCTATTTTGCACACGGCTGTGGCTACGGGAGAATTAAAAAAAGTGGAAAATAGGAAAATATAATTTTTTCATCTGTGGGAATATCTCTTTTTTTGGGCCCAGAGTACGGCAGGCTCCCTAACCGTTCGGGAAATGGACCTGCCCGAGCAGCAAGGTATTTTTATTTTTATTTTTAATTTTCTACTTGTATCCCACACGAATATGGGCACTGGGCCTGGTCAGGTACTTTTCTTCTTTTTTTGGGGCGCTGTTGGTTCGAAGCCCCACCGGGATCCATAGGCGGGAATTCGTTCCGGTACAGGAACGGGTTTTTTTTGGGCACCAACTATTGAGGCACACTTGTAAGTGCATGCATATATGGAAGGGAGCTGCTCCCACTTCCGCCTCTTGCTGGCATGAGGAACGAAGTGCATCAGCGCCTGTGGAACACCAAGTGCTTCGGGTTTACTGCTCCGACTCGGGATGATGCAATACGGGGACATGATGCCGGATCTTGACGCGAACGATCGTGGACATTGGGGATGGGCTTGGGCAGTAGGTACGGGGAACAGGGAGAGAAGGTGGATGGGTAGAGGAAAGAAGGGGAGATTGAAGGAATATAAGGATGAAGGAGATGATCGATGTCATTCCTCCTGATGAGGCTTGGTGCACGCACAAGCCGAAATGCGTCGAGGATCGCGTGTGGTTTTTTGACGGTGGACAGTTTTTTTATGCTGTTCGTTTTTTCCCAATTTTCTTCTTCTTCTTCTTCTTCTTCTTCCATTCCTTCTTCTTCTTCTTCCTTTATCTATTTGTCTTTCCAAGTTCATTCATTTCAGTTGGAATTGAACGGCATTTCCTTTCCTTGGTGTTATTGCAGTGAAAGGTAGCCAGGATCATAACAAAAAAGAAAAATCACAAAAAAAAATAAAATAAATAAATAAATAAATCAACACTGAGAGACAGCATTCACGGGTTAGGGTTGGAACATGCCCAAGTGGACAGCGGGTATGCTACGCATTTATTTTTATGTCAGCTTAGTTATAATTACAAAACTAAATTAATAATTAATTCGATGATTGACAAATCTTATTGTAATAAATTAATAATTTTATAATTAGTTATTTGGTACAGGTAACTCATACCTTGTCATTTTGCTTTGGGACGGCGAGTTTCAAATCTTCCCACGACAGAGAAGGGATGATGGACGTCACACTTAATCCAGCAGGTCTCGCATACTCGTCCAAAATTCTTGTGTTGTTTACAAGCTGCTGAATCTCGTCCTCTGACAAAGATCGCTGCCATGCAGCTAGCTGGCCTTCTAGCTTGGCCTTGATCTTGAACAGGCCACCGGCCTCCGGCTTCACCAAAAAGAAAAAAGAAGGAAAAAAAAAAATTAAAAACTTGGTTTAAAGTTTCAACTTTAATAAGTACATTAAAAAAAAAGGAAAATGAAATGTCATGGATGTGCTTCTAGTTGCTCCTTCATCTCCAAAAGGCCACCACTCTTCCGCTTCACAGAAAAAAAAAAAAAAAAGAACTTGAAGTTTAAACTGCATTAAAAACAATAAAAAATTGATGGATGTGCTTCTAGCTGCTCTTTCATCTTGGAAAGACCTTCAAACGTCGACTTGAAAAAAAAAAAAAAAAAAGGTTGATGCTGCTCTTTTATCTTGAAAGTTGAAAGTAACACCTTTGCCGTCCTCAGTGTAATGAACCCAACATTAAAAACTCACACTCAAAAACAAAATCTGGCATTCATGCACTAAGCTAGCAGGGTGGCCCATATATGGCTCAAATAAATGATAACAAGCAGGGATGCCAGCTGGGGCCGCACGGGTCACCTTGTTTGACTGGGAAGCCCAGCCGTGCAAGGACCAGGGAAGGGCCCAGCAAAAAAATAAAAAGATTAAAAAAATTCAAAAAAAAAACTATGTGATGCAGAAAAATAAACTGAACAACTTTTGCCTCAGGGTCACATGGAAAGTCTTTACCAAAAAAACAAATATTCTTTTTTTTTTTAATTATTTTGGGCTCGCCCGGTCAGAAAAATATATGGCTGCCCCCCGATGAGGAGAAGGCAGCTTTCTTATTAAAAAAAATAAATAGTAATCATAAATTCATAATATATTTTTTCTCTTTTTAAAAATTATTTTTGGCCCGCCCGGTCAGAAAAATATATGGCTGTCCCCCGATGAGGAGAAAGCAGCTTTCTTTAAAAAAAAAAAAAAAAAAAAAGTTGCCCGGGCCACTCTGGTAGCCTAGATAATGAGTTATTAACAACCAAACTGACACAGCAAGTAAATATTAATAACGACAAGGGTCATAAGACTGAGTCACAGGAGTCGCAAGACTGTCTGGGGGAGGGAAAAAAAAAAAAGACTGTCTGAGAAGAAGAGGAAAAACATGAGGGAAATATCTTTAGAAGTTTAGAAGTTAGAAGTACTTCCTTTTTCTTTTTTCTTTTTTTTTTTGGCCAAGAGAAGGAGGAAACGGCAAAGCGGACAGGGAAGGAGGGGAAGCAGGTGGAGGAAAGGGGAACTTCGGACCCATGCAGTTGGTTCACGTCTTCACACAATGCAGAGTGACGAAATATTCTCCGGAAAAGAAAAAAGAAAAAAAAACTTTTTTTTGTTTTTTAAAGGCCGAGCCAAGATGCGACCTTGGACCCGATCCCGTCGCAGCTGATCAACACCTTGGGCATCCACGTGGCGCCGTCCTCCGACCTGACCTCTAGGGCAACTTTTTTTCCATTTTTGAGACTCAGCCTTGGTTTGCTAGAGGTTAGAAAAACTCATTAACAATGAGTACACAGTTCAATTTGCAACTCCCCTCTTCTTCCTCAGGATTGGAGCTCGCCATCTCAATGTACATACTGATTTGTATTTTCAGACTCCTTCATTGCCATCCGAGAAACAATGTCACCCACCAGGTTAACCTCTCTTGAGCGCTGGCGTCTATCCAGGGCTACCGTCTTCACCGGAGCATAACGCACCCCGACGAGTGTCTACAAGCATCCTTCTGGTCCAGGTACAGCCATAATGCTGGAACTTGAAATGACAATGTCTTTCTTCTGAAGCAGCCTGCGGATGGAGTCTCATTCTTCAGTCACGACTACGTTGCCACCGTGAAGCTATGGTGACCTCT